CTTTTCTCTTTCTTCTCTCTGGTCTCCATCGTCCTGCTGACAGAAGACGTCTCTGAGTTCTCTCCTCCTTCATGTTCTGGTTCCTCAGAGCTGCAGGACTTTAGTGGAACCTCAGTGAAGGAACAGCAGAGGAAATGTCCAGAAGGTTGGTGTATATTCAGCTGTGGAGTCCTGGAGGCGGCTGAACTGATGGACCTCCAGCAGCAGAGTATTTACAGTAAACGTCGGTTTCTTCACACGTTTACTGTAAATAAAAGCTAAACATTCAGTTTAAGGTGAATCTATGTGTACAATGCAGGAAAACACCTGAAGTCTGCTGTAGAAGTGCAGCTCAACTGTCCAATCCACCGTTTTATAACCAGATTACACCGTTTAGCTCCATCACAGTGAGTCCAGCTCGACCCGAACACCCCCGGACCTCCCAGAACCTGACAGACCTGCAGGAGGAACCACGAAGCTGCTGCAGACCGAACAACCAGCTCAGACAGGTTTAGACTTTCCCTCACGTGTTCACTTCAGATAAGCCTCGTCCAGAACCCTCTGATCGGACCGGGCTCTGTGTGGAAGCAGCTGATTCTCGCGGTTTGTCTGCTAATGAAGCTCGTCGCCGCTGTCGGCGTCACGCTGCGAATAAAACCCCAGAATCGAAGCAGCAGCTGTGACAGACGCAGATTTAAGCAGATGGGCAGATGGACGGCTTCTAAAAATACCGAAAATCAGACAAACACATCTGGAAGAACCGACTCAGGATCCGTCCCTGGGTCTGGGCTTCAGGTAGAACGGCAACGCGGGGATTTATTTAAAGGTAAAGACGTTTAATAGGAAGAACTTTGATTTCTCAGCGACTCATTACTGCAGGAAACACTTTGAAGCTGGTGGACTGAAAACACTGACATCGTGATTAAACGCTATGAAGGAAGAAGGTTGTTCAGCGTGAAGGTAGAAACAGATCAGACGAAGACACGATGAACGTCTGGCAGCAAAAGATATGTTCATACATAAAAACATAGCTGAAGACAAAACAGAGAGAAAGATATTTAACTAAAGTATGATTTTAGCATCACACACATGTTAAAAGAATGAATGTAAAAATACAGACTGTTGTGTTTTATGTGTAGTTTTTTGTTTGTTTGTTTGTTTGTTTTTAAATAAATACTTCTTTCTGTGACTTTATTCATATTTTCTGTAATCAGGCAAAACATAGAAAATCTATAAAACAACAGTTAAAAACAATGAAACTATTTTTAAATCTCAATTTTCTTCTTTTAAATGAAATTTCTTTAGAGTAATCAGAAATGCAGGACGGAGCTCAGCAGCTGCCAACAAGAGCCGCCATTTTTGTAGTTTAAACAATGTTTTTTGTAGTTTTTATTGTTGCGAGGACGAAAACAGAGACATGAGAGAACCTGGAGCACAAAGACCAACCGGTCCAGAAGATCTGAGCTCAGACCAGCTCTGGCGTCTCGTTTCGTTTTTAGATCTCTAATGTTCAAACCTCCTGAGTCCCGTCAGCAGCAGCTTCATGGCTCTGAGCTCCAACATGTCTGACAGACCTGTACGATGTGAACCTTCCTCTCCAGCAGCAGGTCTCGTGTCGGTCGACCCGGTTCTCGTGTCTCCTACCTGTAACCAGGTGAACTCGTCCTGGACTCACCTTGGACGCAGAACTTGAGCTCCTTGGCGTCGGTCACGGTGCTGGCCGGCAGCCTGTCGGGGACCTTCTTGCTCATGCGGTTGTAGTTCCTCCTCTTCTTGGTCTCGCCCCACAGGTTGGAGCCGCCGTGCATGCTGGGAATGTTGAGCACCGCGATGCCCTCCAGGGACGTGTTGCTGAGGTCCAGAATGATGCCGTCGCACTGGAGACACACAAACAGAGAAACTCAGCAAGTCAGCAGAACCATCCTGACGTAGCTTCACGCTAACAGCCGGCTTCATGTTCAGCAGCTGGAGAAGCTCTGAAGAACATCAGACCTACGGACCATCTCAGAGCTCCAGTCTTAAACTTCTGGAAGGTTTTCTCTGTAAAACTGTAGAAAACTGAAGCACTAACATGAATGTTTCATCTTCATCTTCCTGCCTCGTGGAGAATCATCTGAGCTCCATGAAACATTCACCACCTCAGAAGTTTGGACCAAAGTTCTGCTGCGTCCGTCTGAGAAAAACCTCCAGAAACCTCCTTTAGTTCTTCCTCTGCAGACTTGCTCCAGAACGTCAGGACGATCTGATAAAGAAGAACCACGGCGGTTCCAGAACAGTCAGAGCAGACGGACGTGTTGGAGGATCTCTGAGGTTCTGAAGCTTCTCGTGGAGGCGAGCCGAGCAGCTCCCTGGTACAGAGTCGGTCCACTTGGTTCTTCTGGGTCTCAGCTCATCATCACTCAGCAAATTATTCACACACAGTCAACGACACGCAGCGGTGACTCAGCGTTTACAGATGATTAGTGCTGAGTCAGAGCTGGGCCGAGCTGGACATGCAAACAAACGGCAGAGGAACCTGAAGAGAACCTGAACGCTGAGGAACAACTGTGGAACAACTAAAGAAGAACAGAGGAACGACCATAGAACAACTAAAGAACAACTGAGGAACACCTGAAGAACATCTGAGGAACTATTGAGGAAATGCTAGCAAACTACTGAGGAACAACTAAAGAACATCTGAGAAATTTCTGAAGAACATCTGAGGAACAACTGAGGAACATCTGAGGAACCTGAACTAATGTCCAGAAACACAGTTAAAGATGTGAAGCACTGAATGTTTTGGTCTGAAGTTTGTAGAATAAAGCGTGACTAGAACCTTGATGCTTCTTCCTTTTGGTTCTCCTTCATGCTTTCAGTCCTCAACACGTCTCATTCAGATACGATGAGAACTTTGACTGCGTTGGTCTGACAGCCAGAGACTCTCCAACATCTGGAGGAGCTTCTCAACCACAATCAGCTCCTGTTGGTTGATTCTCAGGTTGTTTCACGACATTTGCTTTGAAGCTCTCGTCTCATAAAACAGATTTTTATCAGATTATTTACAGTTTTGTTGTCGTCGTGAACGTTCTCCACTGTGGGATCAACAAAGTTCATCTTTATCTTTACTTTATGTAGTTTCTGTTTCAGTCAAGATTCTGTTTTCTTGTGGTTTTACAAGACATTTTCTGATATTTGATTCTAAAAAAAGATGTGAAAAAATATCAATTGAAGGATATTTTTCAGTCCTTAAACTACATAAGTTTTAAATACTGGAAAACATATTTAAAATATACACATATATTTTTAATATTTTCCCTATTTAAATATATTAATTTACATAATTTCCCTGTTTTGTAATAATACAGAAAACATTTTTAAATCACTGAAAAGTTTTAATTTACATGTTGACTGTAAAAAACAAAAAAACAAAAATGTCAATAATGTCTACATTTTAAAAATAAAAATGTAATTAAAAAAATAAAATAAAAAAATCTACATTTTCCAGTAAAAGTCTGTATATTCACTACTGAACTGTTATTTTACAGATTTTTTCCTGTTTTGGTAAATTACAGTAAATAACTTAAAAAAATCACAGAAAATAAAAATATTAATTTATATGTTGACTGTAAAAACAAAAAAAACAGAAAACAAAAGAAACTGTAAATAATGTTCACATTTTTAAAAATTATTATTATTATTTTTTTTTTTTTAAACGAAAATTTAATTGAAAAATCTATATTTTCATTATCTTTGCAATTTTCTTGTTTTGTTTTGTTTCTTGTTTTGGCAAATTACAGTAAATAAATAAGAAATAAATAAACAGAAAAAAATGCATTAATTTACATGTTAAAAAAAGTATTAATAACATCCAAAGTCTGGATCTTTACAAGCTGTTATGATCTGTTCCAGGATGTGACGGTGAAATGACATCCTGCTCTCTGCTCGACACTTTGTCTGTGGTCTTGCTGCCACATCTTCTGTTTGTTTTTTCCAGATCTGGAGCAGAAACTAAAACTAAACTGTTCGTTCATTTGGATCTAAGCCTCCGACTCTCTCCGAACACGTTTCCTCTCAGCTGCCGACACATTCAGGCTCTGAAGGCTGAAGACAGAAAACAGGTTCGGATCTTTTCTAAGAGCTTCACAATGAAGTTTCTCCTCCTCAAACTCACTTCATAGAAGCGTTTCTCTTTCACCAAACTGCCCACAGTCACGACTCGGCTCACGTCCTTGACATTTAATCACAGCACAACGATTCTGCTGAAGGTTTGTCTGAAGAGATAAAATCAGACTCGTGTGACAGAAACACAACCATCATAAATCATCTGAAGCTCCAGGCTGCTGGTTTTACGCACATCAAGACGTCTACGTTAAACAAATACCACCATAAAAATCCAGCTGCAGAAAAAAAAACTTTAAAAAAGTAGAAAAACTGATAAAATACTTAAAATGAAGCATCATGAAGCTTTTTGCTGATTTTAATACATTAAAAAAAAGTTTTAAAAAAAATAAAAATATGACGTGAAAATACTGATTTACATTTTGAACCTGTTTTTTTTTTTTTTTTACAGTCAACATGTATTTATTATTATCTTTACTTTAAGAAAAAAGAATGAAGAAGATAGAACAGTTGAACAACATTAGTTTTGACAAAATAAATAATGATTTAAAAAAACCCAAAAAAACCCATTTAAAACCTATGGAGTAGTGAGAGCGCCAAATTACCAAAATAAATCAATAAAAGAATAATAAAATAAAAGTGGATATAAAAAGAAGAATAAATAAAATAAAAAATAAAAATTATGAGGCAACATAAAAAAAAATAAAAATCAAAAATGAGTCCATAAAAG